TGATTTATGGATGTTTCAGTTTGTAATGTAAATATGTGCGACGGTGTAACAATTGCACTAATATATTGAGCTGAATAGAACTGAGTTAAAGCATTTGAGATCACTCGATTTGCTGTTTGACAAAAGGTATCTAATGCTTGAAATAGTGCCGGACCTATCCATTGAGAGTCATCGGAATTAATATCACTATATGGAAATGTATAAGAAAGATATTTAAACCATTCTTCTGTTACAAATACACTGGTACAAACTTGATGTAATGTGTAATTGATTTGAACAAACTCTTCGTAATTTATCGCTATTTTTTTACATGAGCATGTCAATATTTCGGGGTATTCCTTATAAAGTAGTCCATATTCTTTGAATGTTGGCCTTTGTTTGTGACTGGTATTTGTGATGTTCATCAATGAATTGTATAAAAAAAGAATTGTTAATGAAATAATTAACAAGATGATATATATTCTTGTCGAGATTATTTCGTTCCGAAGATCAAATTCATCGACTGAGGGTGGTACAGATTTAAACAAATTTATTGCTTTCCAATAGGTTTTTGCTTTGACAAATAAGCTGATATTTCTTCTGTTCATTTCATTCTCTACAACAGAACAGTCTGATGAGAAAATATGTCTTCAGAATATGTTGAAAATATATTACAGAAATTATTAAACGCTTTTATCATATCCTGGTCGTATTCAAAATGCATCAAACATATTTAGGGACGGCGCGTTAAATTTAATTTTGCTTTGAAAAACTAGTTAAAATAAACTAAATTTTTTTTTCTGTATTTAATTAAATTGAAATGTTGAAAACTGAGAAGCTACTCATTTGGCGCGCCATTTACAATTCCTCGAATCCGTCCTACTATTCTACATATTATCATATAACAATATGGAGCATCAATTGCGATAATACCACACAAAAAATCCTGTTTTTCATCTTTAATGTTTATTTATTCAACATTTTCGTTTCTATCATAATTCTTACCTGTACTGTTTCCTGGATCATTTATTGCATAAAATGATGTTTTTATTTACATAGTTATGATAAAAATGTTTAGTAGAAACGGTTGGATAGAAATTCAAGCGATAGAGCATAAAGTTCAAGCACTTAAGCATATCACAAGGTTTCAAGTTTTACCTCTAGATATGCCATAGCGCGTGATACTCTTGCTCAACCATGATCATGTTCTTCAAGTGCATTTCACAAGAGGTTCAACTATAGGGCACCGATTAATTTAAATGTCATTTAGCCTGTTTATTTTAATTGTCTGGAATTATACTTTTAGTTTTTGGTTGATGTGCTGAGCACTAGAAACTTTAGAAAGCTTCTGCAAAGCTGTAGAATAGATTCTCTGTACTTTGCCCGAAAGTAAAAATGTTGAGAATAGTAGAATAGAACCCCTACATATGACCAAAATATCACCTCAAAAGCGATTGGACAGTCGGGACCACTCGCTCGTCACTGTTTGATTTGACTTTTCTCGGTATAATACTTTACACACTGAAAATCGCTAAAATATTGAGGTCGTAGTCTGAACAAATATTGCTCTTTGCATTCGTGTCAGCCCCCTGTGCTTTATGGTAAGTACTGGTAGTGTTGTATCGTCGTGCTCGACCTCTGTACATTATCAAAGTGATATGATTAAAAGATGGATCGTTTTGAAAAGTTTATGAGAACTGTCTAGAGAATTGAAATTTCACGATATTTCTTACAAAGCCCAAAAAACTATCTATATTCTGCTTCACTTACGAACTTCATGCTAGTATCCGATCATAGAACTTTTACTTTTTCCACAAAATCGATGAAGAACGAAGAATTTTTTCGCAACTACAACACATTACTATCATCTTACCATATTCTATTTCTTGTTGTCGTCTTAGTTGTTTTCTGATGAATCTAACCATTATCGGCACAATCACTTTCAAAACTGTGATCAAACCACCCAACAGTCCAAGTAATACGTTGAATATGTAAATCACAG